TCTTCATTAAACTAGACATACCCAGTTCCTGCAAACGTTCTTCATATGTTTTAGCCTCCAGTCCTCTAATCCTCTTTGTTGCTCTTCTCTACACTCTTTCTAGAGTCTCCACGTCTTTTTTACATCGTGGCGACCAAAACTGAATGCCGTATTCCAAGTGTGGCCTTACCAAGGCCTTATAAAGTGGTATTAACACTTTCAGAAGAAAGCAGACAGGAGTTAAAAGAAAGTGTCTCAGGTGTACTTAAGTTCGACGACCACAATCACCAGCGGACACAGGATGTTCTCATTTAGCCTCCCAAACGGTATTTGACAGCTTTTTAAGTGGCGTTTGTAAAATTTAATTTAATTTAATTAATTTAATTTATATGCCGTCCCTCTCCGAAGACTCAGGGTGGCTCATAATACATTTTAAAAAATCATTATAAAAAAAACGTTGAAAAATTAAAAACATTAAAAACTCATTCACACCGTTCATGGCCGGATCTCAAGAGCGAGCTCAACGGCCTTGCAAATTCCTTGCAATGGTAGTCCATTGTGCAATAATGAGACATTTCTATGGAAACAGGTGCCGATTTACTCGCTAAAGGGTCTTTTGGAGGATTTCCCCCTCTAAGTTTGTGTTGACTTTCTCGCTGGCAGGGAGAAAAATGGGTCACACGTGGATCTAAAGGCAGGCTTAAGGAAGGACTGGCAACGGGTGTAAATCTTAGCCTGCTCAGCGCCGGCCACAGAATTTAGGGAGCAGAATCTGGAAAGAGAGAAGGGGTCATTAGTTTCCAGGCTGCCTGGGGTTTAATAGGAAATTGTGTGTTTGGATGTACGTATAATGAATCCTCGGACAATCTAATCCTAGCTGTGCATATTGAATAGTAAGGCCTCGGTTACGTTTAAAGATGTTTTTATTAATGGGAAACAAATATATAAGATGTCAGAGTTGCAAGTCATGCTGAACTTTAAAAAAAAAACGGCAGTAATTTTGAGATTCCTCTGGTTCTTTAATTCTCTTTCTGTAAATGTTTCCTTATTAGGTGGTCTCTCCACCTCCTTTTCTTTCTTTCTTTCTTTCTTTCTTTCTTTCTTTCTTTCTTTCTTT